GACCTGATATAGCTTGTGCGATAAGTAAACTTAGTCGATTCACAAGTAATCCCAACAAACATCACTGGGTAGCAATGAAACGAGTTCTGGGATATTTGGTATATACCCAAGACTACGCTTTGCACTACAATAAATATCCTGCGGTTATCGAAGGATATAATGATGCAAATTGGATAACCAGCTCAACAGAAACAAAAGTCCACAAGTGGATATGTTTTTACTGTTGGTGGATGAGCAGTATCTTGGAAGTCTTCCAAACAAACGTGCATTGCTCGCTCTACAATGGAATCAGAGTTTATAGCTTTGGATAAAGCCGGTGAAGAAGCTGAATGGCTTCGAAATTTCTTAGAAGACATTCCGTTCTGGCCAAAACCTTTGGCTCATATTTGCATACATAGCGATAGTGAGGCTGCAATAGGACGGGCAGGGAGCGTTATGTATAACGGAAAGTCTCGTCATATACGACGAAGACATAACACCGTTAGACAACTACTTTCTAGTGGAATTATCACTATTGATTATGTAAGATCAAAGGATAATGTGGCGGATCCGCTTGCAAAAGGCTTAACTAGAGAGGGAGTTGAGAAATCATCTAAGGGAATGGGACTATGGCCGAGGACAAGTCAACATGGCTGTAACTCTACCTAGAATTTTGGATGTTCCGAGATCTAGGTTCAAGGAGCTCAAACAAAGTTGTGATTGACCAGTTCAACATTGTCAAAATAAAATCTTTGGTCCATTCTCGTGATGAAGACAATGTTCAGTAACAAGGATAGAACTTTACACGTTCTTTAATGATTACCTAAGTTTGATGATGTATTTATCAAATAGTGTCAATCTAAAGGATTACACGTTTAGGAATCACCTATGTAAGTGTGAAGTGGAAGCCGTTTCAATGAGAATTTTGTAAGGCCAATTCTCTACGCACTTATAAAACCAGGCGGTGTTCATGGCTAAAACGAACACAACAATGAGAACCAAAAGACGGTTAAGGGTTGGTTGTGTGACATATGGTTGTCTAGGTATACGCTAAAGTTCGACGGTTCAAAGATATCAAATCTACCGATTGACCGAGTATATCCGACATATGTTCACTACGGAAAGTTCAAAGGGAAACTTACTTATCCAGATGCAATTAATCCTTACTTGCAAAATCACATACCTTTCATCTATGATCTTTCTTGATACAGCCATTCCCATTCATGTGGGGGACTGTTGGACTTTAAGCCATTGGGCTTTAAAGTAGAAGAAGTGTGAATTGGAAATGGAGGGAAATAAAATGGAGGGAAATAACAAAATTTGAAGAAGTGAACTTTTGTCTTGCACTTTGTCCCTCATTGGTGAGGGACAACCACATTTGTGTGCTTATATATAGAATCACTTCTTAAAGCTTTTAAAAGGAGTTGAAGAGAATGAACCCTCGCGCCGTCGTCGCTCGCTCGCTCAGCTCGGCTTCGGATTTGGATTTGATCGATCGATAAGATTATTTTTGGACAAAATTTATTTAATTATTTAATAATTAATTAAATACCAAATCACTGCTGAAAATACGCCAGAACCCTGCTGAAGGTTCGGAGGGCCTCTCTGGCCGCGACCGCGGTAGAACCGCGGCAGGCTGATTCAGAGAGCCTCTCTGACCGCGATTCTGCCGCGACCGCGGTAGGCAACGTATTCTTCTGAAAAGGCACCTTTTCCAGACACCTCTTCTGATAATTGCCTATAAATTCTGAGGCAAGGCTCCATTTTTTACACACGAAAAACACTCCAGAACTTCTTTCTTTATGAAAATACTGCATCCTAATTCGCAGTCTCTCTCTCTCAAATTCGTAAGTGTGATTTTGCTCCGTTCTTTGAGTTCGTTGGTATCCTGCAGTTTGTATTGCCACTGTTGCAGGAAGGTTTATTCCGTTTTATCCTGGGAGGATTTAATCCATTACCTTGGCAACGTGTGAGGGGGTTAAAATTCCTTAAGGACACACAAGAAAATTGTGGACTCGGAATATTTCTTAAACTCTTTTGTTTTTCCAGTTTCTTTTATTTTTTCTAACAGTTTTTTTTTCTGATTTTTGGTTTAACACAGTAACGCTCACAAGTTTGATCCAACCAACAGGGAAGCTGCAATGTCTTGGCTTAAAGCCATCAACTGTGATACAAAAATCTTTTCAATTGAGGCTCAAGGAGGTGAAATCAAACTCTTTTCTTACAGCAATCTTGAGGTTGAAAAAAATCTCGCGAATAACCTTACCTACTGATATGTTAACTAGACCATATTTGGCGGCACATCTCTTTTTCCAAAGCTCCCAGCAAATAAGTGAGGGAATAAGTTTAATGATCAAATTAAAAAGACTGTTATGTAAATATACTTACTAAAAGTTATATTCCAGTATAAAATAGAAAGTTTAACTTTTTAAAATTGATGAATATTGATCCTATATATAGCTAACTCAATAAAGGAAGAAAATGTACCCTATAAAATTCTCCAGTCATCATTCAATATGTTCAAATTAAACTTAGTTCAAGTTCGATATATTCAACTTTTCAATTTAAGCAAATATACATAGTTTTTGAAGATCTAACAGCTTTTCTAAACTTGAAAAGCTATTTTCAAGTTCATTTAGACAAAGACAATCTTTTTTATTTCTTGCAAGTAAAATACATGTTTTTTATTTCTTTAATCAATAAAATATATATCAACTATTATAAAAGCACAAAGCCTCAGAGCGAAATATTGATAAACCTTTCTACCCTTAAAAATAAATTTCAGATATGACAAAATTGACATTTAATTATTTTTCATAATATTTATATCTTTGAAATCAATTATAATATTATGATAAAAGTATTAACTTAATTGTCCATTTTTATTGATTACTACATAACGAATCAAAATATACATGGCTATTAAGACAAAAGCAATATTCATGAGATATTCTAATTTCAAACTACTAATAATTTCTTTTGTATACGTTAATTTAGTTTGTTACTTAAATAAATATTATTAGACAAGATCATGAATAAATGAATAAAATTCCTTATATGTGTTTCAATTTCATGATCTATATTTATCATTTTCAAGAACTCAAATTTTTACTTAATATATTTTTTTTGTGACTAAAACCATGTTTTGAATATTATTTATATATTTTTTAAAAATAATTCTCATCAATATAGGGTACACGCGCAATGCGCGTACTTTGAGACTAGTACTATATCAAAAGCACAAAGGTCCTTAACGAAATATCGTTTACCTTTTTTACCCCTTTAAAATAAAGTTCATACTAGACAAAATAGTCATTTAATTATCTTCAAGCTAATATTTAGGAGTTTGAAATTAAATAAGATCTATTACTTATTATACCTTTCTTTATTTGAATTAAGTAAGGGGTCCTTATATTTAGGACTTCAAAATTATTAAAGTTTTATCTTATATGAATGTAAAATTATACTATAATTAAATAACACTAAATGTTTATATTTTTACCTTATATATGAATTTTAACAATTGAACGCTTTTTATCCCAAAAAATTGTATAATCATGCTAAATATTAGGTGAACAATTATGATGTAAAAGAATAAAATAAAGAAAGAGGAAGTAATTTGCTTTGTCCTTTATTCAAATCAATATATAGCCTATAAATTCTATGAGTATTCTATGTGATATTGGTCCATTGACTATTAATTTTATTCTTCGATCAATAATTTGCTTAAATATAAATATTAGTATAGATTTTAAAACATTAGTAGAAAAAATAATTACGAAATATTTCATAATAGCAAGAGAAAGAGAGAGAAAAAAGATTGAAAAAAGTTATTTACTAACGCTACGACAAACATAAAGTGCAAAAGTCCGATTTTTTATCATTTGACAAAAGAATTTTGTGGATAAAATTATTGTTATAATTAAATATTTATTTTATTGTATGAGCTAATATTAATAGTTTAAATCCTCAAAAAATAGATTAATTCTATTAGTGATTAAAAGATAATTAAGTATTTGAGTTGGCTTTTTTTCCCTTGATTTGATTAACTAACTAGAAAAATAATTCAATTTTATTCCTTTCCAAATTCATCAATGTAAAAATATTTTTCAAGTTTACACAGATCTTAGAGTACATAAATTATTTTCAGAAAAAGACCATCGACGATACAAGAAATCAGAATATAAAATAAAATTTAATTATAGTATTACGAATTAAATTGGTTAAATGCGAATTTAAAGAAATAAGGACTAATTAAGCCAAATTGTATTCACAAAGAGATATTAGGTGAGATACAATTTAGCATATTTGTAAATTATATTATAAGATATGTATAATTACATAATAATGTACAACTAATTTAACTAAATTCATTATCTGTACATATTCAAAAGGTATTTAATATAATTACTATGCGGAAAATTATTTTTATCATTTAAAAATATTTTTTATTTTAACGTTAATGTATATATTTTTAATTGATAGACATTATAGACACGTGCAACGCACGTACATTAAAATTAGTAGTAGTAAATAAAAGAGGGAATAAAGTAGAACTCAACAAAAAGTTACAACAATAATTAAAGGATGTTAAATAAAGGCTGATAGATAGTCAGAAAAAATATTACTGCTCCCTTGTCCCAATGACTTTTTCTTCTAATTTCTTTTTGAAAAAATATTAATATATTTTTATATAAAAATAATAATTTAATTATAGACTTATCATCTTATTTTAATGAGATAATTTATAACCACCCAAATATTTATAATTTAGTATATTTAGAAAATTGTTTTTTTTTTTTAATTTTGTGCTCAATCAAAATCGCATAAATAAAGGCGGAGGAGTATTAAAAGAAGGCCCACAGGCTGAGCCAGTTCAGCTTGAAGCCGAAGGCTGTACATTACCTGATTCGCGAGTTTGGGTTATAAAAAGCTTCTTTGGCAGTGTCGTTGGCCCTATAGAGGATTAATGGCGGGAGTCCACCAAAAATAAGTTTAAATTCCCAAAATTTACTGTTTTTGTAAAACGCGGGCATTGCACGAAAAAGGTCCCAGGGTACGAAAAATAAAAACCCAAAACAAAGCACTCACATAAACATTTCATTTTTATCCCTAAATTGCCCCCCCACACACTACACACACTGATTATTCTGTGTCACACCTTTTCTCCTTTTCCTCCTCATCTACTCTCCCATGGAGAACCAGAAGCACAGCGAACGCTCGTCGAGCTCTGGGAGAAGGAGCTTGAAGAGAAAGCTACACGAAGGTCTCGAAGAAGATCAAACGGTTTCATCTTCTTTATCTTCAGAAGAAGCTCATCAAGATCTGGCGCATGAAGTCCGTACACAGGTTGAGGTTCTAGAATCTTCCTTTTCATCATCCGAGTCAGATCGAGCCTCCGCAAAACGCGCTATACACGTTCTCTCTGAATTAGCCAAAAACGGTAACGCAAAACTCTCGATTTTGCTTTTCATTTCCAGTTGATCAGAATTTTTCGATGTTCATGCAGAGAGTTCGATAGCGTATTTTAATTAGTTTGAGAGTGATATTAGGTTTTGATAAACGAGGATTTGTGTTTTTGTAGAGGAAATTGTGAACGTAATTGTGGATTGTGGTGCTGTTCCGGCTTTGGTGCAGCATCTAGAGGCGCCGCCGCATGTGAGTGAAGGTGAAGGTAGTCACATGCCATACGAACATGAGGTTGAGAAAGGAAGTGCTTTTACGCTTGGGCTTCTTGCTATAAAAGTAAGCTTTCAGCTCGCTTTTCAGATTTTTCTCAGTGTATTATCATTTATATTGTATGATAGCCATCTTTCAGTGATGCGGTGAAGTAAAACCAGTTTGTTTTTGCAGATGATTGTATAAACTATCTCATACTTCTGGTGATAGTCAAATTGTAGAAAAGAGCTTGCTTTTGCTACAAGAGCTATGTATTATATGGAATAAGTTACTGTAAATGAGATTTTCATTTTGCTGTATTATTTGAGCACTTAGTTTAATTAATTTGTGCATTCGTTTGCTGCACGGCAAGAAGACTCAAATTTCATTGGCAAGGGCATTTACCAAATATGTAGCAAGGGCAATCTTTGAAAAACTATCAATCTATCAATATAACTTTACTTGTATCTTAGACTCTGAAATTATCTATTAAGAAGAAAGGGTAACAGAATGCTGGAGATCTTGAAGATTTTTTTGTGTGCAAATCAAGTAAAAGGTTAATTAACTCAGTGTATTGCAAAGTAGATAATTTCCAAGTAGGAACATGTGCAGATCTAAATTAGTTTTAATCAGTGTAAGATGAATGTTTCGAGTTAACTGCCTGCTATTACAATATTTATGCTGCCTATAAATGATTTTCCATCATTGCAACTTCATCTAACTCATACACTTGGAGTATTTGTTTTTTTTTTCTTCTTCTTCTTATGTACCTTCTTAATTTTTTGTATATCATACTCATACTGAAAAGAAATTTGCTTTTCTACTTCATTCTGGATAGTCCGTACTTAATGTACTTCTGAAACTCAGAGGAGTAGATATTTACTCTCTCTCTTCTTTAATATATTTTATATTTATGCCTGACAGCCAGAGCACCAACAACTCATTGTTGATGCTGGAGCTTTGCCTCATCTTGTTAATCTGCTGAAGAGGCACAGAGATGCTCAGAATTCTCGAGCAGTCCATGGTGTTATTCGTCGGGCAGCTGATGCAGTCACGAATCTTGCTCATGAAAACAGCAGCATCAAAACTCGTGTTAGGTTAGTTTGCTCCTTATCTGGAAACTTTGTTATTTAGCATCTGCAGAAAGAAGACCTCTATTTCTTACTTCATCTGTATTCTGTGACTATAGGATTGAAGGTGGCATCCCTCCACTTGTTGAATTGCTTGAGTTTGTTGATTCAAAGGTGCAGAGAGCAGCTGCAGGAGCCTTACGAACTTTGGCATTTAAGAATGATGAGAACAAAAATCAGGTTAATTGCTTACAAATTTATCTTGAATATTTCTATGGTTATCTGTTTGATTTATGTTAATTTGTGTGAATTGATTGCAGATTGTGGATTGCAATGCACTCCCTACTCTTATACTAATGCTTCGGTCTGAAGATACTGCTATACACTATGAAGCGGTGAGACATCATTTAATGTCATGATAAACTAGCACATATGATATTTATTATAACCTAGGGTCTTGACTTTGATTCATCTGGTAGTCATCCACAAAGCTAATTAAATTGTGGGTGGCAGGTTGGAGTCATCGGAAATCTGGTGCACTCATCACCAAATATCAAGAAAGAAGTTCTTCTTGCAGGAGCTTTACAACCTGTAATTGGGTTACTTAGGTATAATGAACTCTCATAACTTTTGAGTGACCTGATCATTTTTAACATTTCTGATACCTGCGTTATTATTTGCAGAGTCCTCTAGAAGGACCTATCTGTGCAACTATATGCTCTTTTCTTTTTTCCTCTGTGGTTTGCTCACTATAAATCTTGTATGCCAGTTCCTCCTGTTCAGAGAGCCAAAGGGAAGCTGCTTTACTGCTAGGACAATTTGCAGCAACTGATACAGACTGTAAGGTTGATTAATAAGCTCTATCACTTTCTTCATAGGAGAAACTCTTTATTTAAGTAGCATTACTGAGCAACTTAATCTTATTTACACAATGTAAAATCTATTTAAACCTCTTGCAGATTCATATTGTGCAAAGAGGAGCAGTTCCACCACTAATTGAGATGTTGCAATCTCCAGATGCTCAACTTAGGGAAATGTCAGCCTTTGCTCTAGGGAGGTTGGCGCAGGTAATTCATCCTGATAAATCTTGAGTTGCACAGTTTTCTTGTACTTGTCATGACAATCTGTTTCTATTCGTTCTTTTAGTAGTAGCACTTGGACTATTGGACTGTCTGATGTAAGCTTGCCATTCAAGAATTATCTTTTCGACTTTCAAATTTTCTGAGCGATGATTTGTCACCAACTTCCATTTGATGATTACTTTGGTTTTTCAAGTGTGAAGCATGCTAATGATCTCTTTATATGACCTTTGTACTGGTCCCATTGGACTATTGATTGTTCTGCAGCAGCAAAAGGTTTCTATTAAAAATGGTTGATTATGATAATCGTTTGTAGATGAGCAACTGTGAATTCACATAATTTTTGTTTGACATTCACTATCTTCGGCAGGTCTTGAAATATGATATCTACCTATGGTTATGTGGAGTAATCTCTAAGAGGATAAGAAATTGATGCTTTTGGGGCAGAAAACTTATGCAAGGATAATAGTAGTGATTTCTCAATATGGAAGTTTAATCAACCCTAACCTTCTGGAAGCTATAGTACTGGCTCTGAACAATATCATAAAGTGGATTTTGAGGATATCATCTTCATCACTTAATTTTCTGAAACGGCTTGATCTCTTGTGATTTACAGTTTCTACTGACAGGCTTCTTCAGATCTGTATCATTTCCTCATCACTAGCTCTGTTTCAGATGTAGATAAATGATATGTGGCTCTATATCTCACAACTTTTTGATGCATGTCCGTCGATCACATGACAACAGTTTTGAAAAGTAACATTAATTAAACTTTAATAGCCCAAGCAAAATGGTTTATCAAGATACTGTGATGTTCCTAATTATGGTACAGAACAGTATTTTAACTTTTGTACTTCCTTGGGAGCTCCTATTTCACTTCAAATATGAGGAATGCCAGCGCCAGACCATTCTCTTCTCTTCTTCTTTCTCATAGCACTTAATTTGATTTGAGGATTTAGTACTATGTTATTGACCGAGAGTTAGCGGTTCCATGATGTTCAGGACACACACAATCAGGCTGGTATTGCTCACTGTGGTGGAATTATCCCATTGTTGAAGCTCCTTGACTCAAAAAATGGATCATTGCAACACAATGCTGCATTCGCTCTATATGGGCTTGCTGATAATGAGGTGCTGCATGTCACCAGATCATATATACTCTTATTATAATCAGTTTCATGCACTTACATGCTTCTTTAGACTTACTGTGACTTTCTGCTTTAGGATAATGTTGCTGATCTTATAAAGGTTGGAGGTGTTCAAAAGCTTCAGGATGGAGAATTTATTGTCCAAGTATGATCTCTTGACTTCCCCTTTTTTTTTGTGATTCTTCAATTTTATGCTTTTCTCTCAAGGATTAGTACCTTTGTTACCTTAAATGAGTTTGGATTATTATTGTTTTACATATTGCCCTGAGCTCCTAAATTGAGTTCACTGACTATGCAGCCGACTAGAGATTGTGTAGCAAAGACATTGAAGAGATTAGAAGAGAAGATCCATGGACGAGTAAGTTTCTATATCTTAAGTTATTTGTTTCTGTGAGTTTACCTTGGTGATGAAGGACATGATGCATACCGGAGAACAAAGAACCATGAGTATATTTTGTTGGTTCCAATAGCAAACTTTGTCTTCTGATAACATGGATGCAACTTACCTCCCTTCTCCACATTTTAATTTTACATTTCTCAAGGTGCTTTTGTTAAATCTTATAGGGTTAGTCATCCTTATATGTAATCTCTTTCTCCTTCTTTTGTAGATATTAGGCCATCTGATATATTTGATGCGCATTGGGGAAAAGGTTATTCAGAGACGAGTTGCTTTGGCCCTGGCCCATCTTTGTTCACCAGATGACCAAAAAACAATTTTCATTAATAACGATGGTATAAGTTTGATTTAGGCTTGAGATTGGGTTTTTATGGGTTCTGGTTAGGCAATGACGATATCTTCTATGTCGATTATGCACTTCTAGGATTAGAGTTGCTTTTGGAGCTCCTTGAATCAACAAATCTGAAGCACCAAAAAGATGGCTCTGTAGCTTTGTGCAAATTGGCTAACAAAGCTAGCTCACTTTCGCAAGTCGATGCTGCTCCTCCATCCCCGATACCTCAGGTTTGTTTTTCTTAATTTTCTGCTTGATTGCACTATCAAGGTTCTTCAACTTTCGCTTCGAGCAGGACTTAGATTATTGCCTTTTACTTTTTAACTTTTTGTTGGTTTCTGTTTCATTTCTCCACTGCTATACCTGTAGTGCTTAGTCAGACTATCATTGCTTGACCTTACTAGGACCTTTCAAAGATAATCAAAATTTCACATTCATTTTCATTGCCTTCTTGATTTTAGAATAATTGGCATAATGTTAGGATAAGGCCGAAAATTTGCATCTAGAATAGTTTTACTTCAAGAGGCAATTGTGGATTCAGAATTCAGATTTAGACATTAATGTGAAATTGTGGATTGTGAAACTTCCAAGTTTATTTATAGATATTTATGTGTACTGTGTAGAAACAGTTTCTGCATTATTAGCATTGACCCATAAGAGATGGTAAGTTGCACACAAGGGTGTGGCCTAGTGGTCAACGAAGTGGTGAGAATCGAGAGGTCTCAGGTTCAAATCCTAGCTGGGGCAAAAAACGCTAGGTGATTTCTTCCCATCTATCTAAGCCTTGGTGGATACAGTTACCTGGTACCTGTTACTGGTTGGAGGTGGCAGGTATCTCGTGAGATTAGTCGAGGTCCGCGCAAGCTGGCCGGACACCACGGTTATCACAAAAAAAGAGAGATGGTAATATGTGAACAGATCTCTAGGGATCAAAGATGCAACCTTTGTAGAAGCATAAACTCTCCTGCATGGTCATAGGCTTATTCAACCTATTCAAAACTTTGCATATACAAAAGATATTTGCTTTTGGCCCTTTAGGAAGAACCTCTTTTTGCAGATCTGATCTTAGTGAGAGAGTTGAGATTAGGCTTTCACTAAGGGGTCGTTTGGATACAATACAACTTATGCTGGGATAAGTTATGCTGGGATTAGTTATCCTGGTATGGTTTTTTATCCACTGTTTGGTATGTTGTATTAAAAATGACAATTGCATAATTTCTAAGACGTATAAGTTATCCCGGCACTAATTACCCCACCCCCTACAAGGTATTAGTTATCCCGGTACTAATTTTAATCCTGGATAACTTATACCAGGTTTGCTAACCAAACAAAGTATTAAGGTGGTATTAAATTTTTATACCAGCACTATATCTACTTATACCTCATACCAAACGACCCCTAAAAGAAGAATTTATACTAAAGGGAGGAAACAACTCTTTGAAACTTATAATATATCTATGCAAATTTAATATATTTGGTCATCTTTTCTTGTGGTTTCTGATATTATCGATTGTTGTTTCCAAATTTACATGCCCATCCCTATGGTTGTAGTTTTTGACTGCAAATACTTTATGTGACCCTTTTGGTGATCTGCCTTGCTGTTTGTATTTAGTGTAGATTGGATAACATCTCTCAATGTGATGCTCCTATCTTCTTCTTATCCCCCCNNCCCCCCCCCCCCCTCTTTGGAGGTTACAAGGAGGTAGTTGTGTGTCTATCGATCGATGTCTAATTTTTTTCCAAAGCGGTGCGCTATGAAGACACAAGACTTAGATTTTTTTGCCCTCAATAGTTAGTCGAGACTGGAAACTTCCTTGGGTGTAAATGGAGTTCTTACCGTTCCAAAAATGCTGGTTGTAAAAGTAGTCCCCCAACTCCCAAATAAAGAGGAGCATCTGCTCCAATTCTTTTAGTTTCTGCCACCAGGTTAAGCTGTTAAGTAGGCCATAAAGTGGGGTTAGGGTGACTCTTCAACTTTGAGGATGTAGATAATGTTGAGTTACTTCTGATGACATTTGGGAGAATTTGAGGTGCTTCCCATTTTGATGAAATCTTGTTGCTTTTTAGCACCCAATATTGGCTATTTGGTGCTGATTGTTTTGACCATTTTATGTTCTCCTAAACTGTTTCATATTTGGTTGATTGTATTCATTCTTTCTGTCCTTTCTGATCTCAAATTATTAGTGAAAGCTTATTCCATCCCGATGCAGTACCTCTTTCCCTCATTTTTCTCTTTTAATTTCTTTTAAATCCAGGTTTATCTGGGAGAGCAGTATGTAAATAATTCTACGTTGTCTGATGTGACATTTTTAGTTGAGGGTAAGAGCAGTTTTACTGTTCGAATGTATTTCTCTTCCCTTTTTCTTTTTTAAATGTTGTATCTTACTTTTTATGTGCTTCCGCCAGGCAAACGATTTTATGCCCATAGGATTTGTTTACTAGCTTCTTCTGATGCATTTCGAGCTATGTTTGATGGTGGCTACCGGGTGAGTTGTATTCCTAGCCAAAAGATGTCTACGTTCTATGTTTTAAATTTATTCATTTGCTAACTGTGTAAAAGCTATCTTCCATTATAAAAATCAATCTTGACAACTTTAAAGATGATATCGTGCATAATTGTAGAAGGGTAAAGGGGTGGGCCATTATCCATCGAGTTACTAACTGTGAGCCTCATGTCTTTTATTTCATAAATTTTTTATTTTTACTTGATGGCTAGCAACTTTGTTATGTATGCAAGAGCAGACTTGCTTTATCTTCAATGTTTGTGTAAAGTGTTTTTTCTATTGATTATCTTTTTCTTTTGTACAACAACAAACCGGTGTAATCCCACAAATGGGGTCTAGGGAGGGCAGTGAGTACGCAGTCTTACCCCCACCTTGTGCAGTAGAGAGGCTGTGTATGCATGGCTACTGCAAAAGGAGTCACAACTAATAGCCAAACATATTTGCTTGATATTTTGTTTCTAACAGTCTGTAGATAATGTATTGCAGGAGAGAGATGCCAAAGACATAGAGATCCCAAATATCCGATGGGATGTTTTTGAGTTGATGATGAGGTAGAGTGCACTTTAATTACCGTCACATCCTTGGTTCAGATTTTGGAAGTCAATCTTGCATTATTAAAGACAAATCTCTCTTGCTTGCAGGTACATATACACAGGATCTGTAGATGTTAATTTGGATGTCGCACAGGATCTTCTAAGAGCTGCAGATCAGTATCTATTAGAGGGCCTTAAACGTCTTTGCGAGTATGCCATTGCGCAGGTGAGTGCTGAGATTTTTTTTTTTGGGGGGGGGGGGGGGTTTCTGTCTCAATTTTACTAATGATGTTTGTCTTTTCTAGGATATATCTGTGGAAAGTGTCTCTCTCATGTTCGAGTTGTCGGAGGCCTTTAATGCTTTGACATTACGTAATGCTTGCATTCTATTCATTTTGGAAAAGTTTGACCAATTAAGTGTCATGCCATGGTATGTCCTGGACCTTCACTATCCTTAATTACATTATATTTATGAGTTCGGTGGGTGACGAACCAAACTGGATATCCTTCTAACCTATCTGGCCAGCACACAGGTTTCACCTATTCTTTGTCAACCTGAACTCCTGAGTATCTTTTAAAAACATGTGTTATGAAAAGGAAAAAGAAAATACTTCAACTTGGTAATTTGTAGAATATGGACTGCTTATTGTTTTATGGTAATTATAACTAGAAGCTTGATCAAGTATAGCTAAGCACAAGATGATAAAATGCTTTTTTGTCATTTAAATTTTTAGAATCATAAGTGGTGATTATTAAGTTTTTTTTATTGTAAATGACAAACACAAACTTATTTCATTATGAGAAAGTGTACGTCTATTTGCTGTGTGTGAAATTGCAAAGCATGTCACTCAACTTGAAGTGAAGATTCCCATAATGATTAGTATGAACTCATTAAGTTGTCTTGTTATGTGTATTAACGCATTATAATTTCATATGTAGGTATTCACATTTGATTCAACGTGTATTACCCGAGACTCGTAGTTACTTTGTAAGGGCGCTTACCAGGCCAATTCAAGCTGATATGCGGGTGTAGGTGCTTCAGATTAAGTTTTGTTCTTTTATTAATTGTAACCACGGGAAAGAGTATGTACAGGAATGGGTTACTGTTGTAATAGTGTCTCAAAATGAGAGCTAATGTAATTCATCATTGAATGCACCAATTCCAGATCATTGGATGGTTAACTAGCTTATAAAGTTCAGTTTCAACGCTTGATATGTTGTTCCTAATAATCGTTGATGAGGTGATGGAATTTCAGCATTCAATCGAAATTTTTAAGGTAGAGGGAGTGGTAATCCTAGATTTCTGTGGAACTCTGCGGATATTACTCAAATTTTACTTGCCAACAAAAAACTGAAATTTTTTCCAATAGAAAATGATTCCTATCATACCAAATACACTAGACATCGAGCTAATTACGAAGAGTTGGAGATCACCACCTCATAAATTGGTTAGTGACATTCATTGTCATTATAGAATGAGCTTATACTATCACTTTTTTGGTCAAAACATAATATCAAATTAAGTATACAGAAAATAATTTATAATGATGTCTGAGTGTTAGTTGGAACAAATAAAATTAAGTTAAAAGGTAAAATACTTCTAAGAAAATTGATTTTTGCTCATTAGGGAGAGAAATATTTTTTCCATTTTAATGTAAAATGTTTTATCCTAGTTGGAATATTAGAAAATGATTCCTTAAAATTATTTCTTGAAAAAAGGCTTAATGAAAAAAATATACCATCAAGACAAAAGTTTGAGTGAATTTCCTTCCACCTTCTAGTGTCTTGTTTGACTAGAATATTCACAATTGAACATATGAAATTCGATTCAAGTCAAAATTAGTGCATGTTGCACATGGTAGTAGCAGGAAGAAAAGTTAAATATTTATTTTATTAATCTTACCAAAGCAATTATCTTGTAGATATATTATAAGGTACAAGTCTTGAAGTTTTAAAGGAAAAAGAAAGGTAACTATTTTTGAACTTGTCTTATCATAGAAATTTTCTTTCTTTTACCTTCTAGTAATAGTTATTTCACAAAGAAAGGAAGTTTCTCCTTCCAAGTTATAATATAAGGTGAATGTGTATCTCTCTTTGGGTGGGTGGGTTTTTTTTTTTTTTTTTGGGGGGGGCTAACCTCCTAAGATATTCACGTTTCATCAAATAGGAAAAGTGTTTACTAAACTCCACGCCATCTTGCAATGTAGAAAATGGATTATTAGTTTTGGCAATTACTTGCATATCAGACCCCACTTGTGGTATCACATGTTGAAAACTCTCCTAGGTACAGCAGTCTAACTTTACTTGGTTGTACAAAATGACGTCTAAAAGCACTAAGAAACTTGTTCTATAAACAAGCATGTCCCTCAATCTACACGAACCTTATAGGAACCAACATCCGTGGGAAATTTTACAGAACCTGAAAAAGAATGATACTGGTAACAAATACAGAGGGGGGGGGGGGGGGGAAGCCAAGGGTTCCTAGGTGGTACACTAGTACCTTAAAGAACACCTGCACAAGGGAAAAATGGGTAAAACAATAGAGTATAACAAACTACTACGACTATTTTCTACAACAATATAGTACAAACCCATCTTTTAGTTTCTTGCACGTCCAAAAGAATCTTTAAGCTTTGTGATAAATCTTCAGCATTGCAAATCGTCATCTTGCAATTTGTGCACAGGTGGAATCGTCTTTGTTTGACCAGCTCTCGGTGATTCTACATGCCTGGATTGAACGCTCGATTGGGAGACCTAGAGTGCCTTCTTTCTCCAGGAGCGAGCAATAGCTTCCAAATGTCTTGACATTTACATGAAGTCGGAAATCCAGTCCAAACAAAAATTTCATCTCCAACTTATTCAACTCTTTTGTGGTTACACCACCTACTCTTGCATAGTATGCATTGTTATAGAATCTGAAAATTATGCAGAGCACCATAAAGATTCAAGCAAATTCCTAGAAATGAAATGTTATTTCTCACTCTTGAGGGGGTCTGTTGCTAAAAAAAATATATCACAAACCATTGAGCTTCAAGCAGTCAGCAGATAATGAACAGCATACATGCAAGCGTATAGTAATTCCTGTGAGTCTACTACGTGTTAGTAATCCTAATGGAAAGCTGCTGCATAGGGTGGGAACGAGGTTCAAGCTTCAGGTTGGACTCTTAACACTCAACTGTCCAATTGATTAATAATCAACACGACAATAAATCTCAAAGCATGTATATCTATTAGTCCCTCCGTTTCATTTTATGTGAACAAGTTTGACTGGACACGGAGTTAGAAAAGAAAAGCTTTTGAAACTTATGGTCTACATTTGATAATAGTTATGTGGCTATAAAATCATACTATCAAGAAGTTTAACTTAAATTGTTGTCAAAATATAAAAATGTGTTTTTCGTTTTGGAACAAATTAATAAGGAAATAATCTTACATAAAATGGACCAGATGGAGTAAACATTTGGGTAAAATAATTTGGTAATATAGACCATGTCTGAGATAGACTTACGCATCATCAATGAATTTTGCTGCCACCATCACACTTGTGATTAGTAGTCGGTGAACATTGAGGGAAGTTAAATGAGCACTAGTGTGTTCAATGAATCGCTCCATGTAAATGTGTGCAACCACAAAGCATGAAGGGCTGCAACATGAATACTTAAAAATGCGATCCAAGTATTGTTCGATGCCGAGCGACGGGGTCCTTGATCCATGAAATAATGTAATCACATCTTTTCTTTGAGTACTTTCTAATAAGCTTTCGGTTTTTTGAACAGACCTCTCAAGAAGTGTTGAAAGAAGCGATAGAACTCTGGGTTTTCCTGATTTTTGCTTGCCAGACACCTTCAGCCCCAATGCTAAGTATTTTTCTGAGCGTATGACCTCAGATTCAGGTGCCAAAGTTCCCATGTCCTGCAGATCATAGATTAATTGCATCAATACACTTGAACATTGAAGAAGAAGAAAGCATACTCCAGAAGGAACACTACAAAAAAAATATATCAAGCGATTGAAAACTCGTAGGAGAAGGTGGTTGTGTCACTGTAAAAAATTCATTTGATCAGCCTCGGCAGCCAAGCAAGGAGTTAAAGTAGGGACTGTATTCTGACTCTTAAACCTGAAGGAGTGATCATGGTTAAGAAGCTTCTTTTTTATCAGGAAAAAAAACAAGAAGCTTCTATCCACCAAAAAGGCTAATGCATTTCAGACCTATATTTATTAGGGAAAAAGGAATATCAATCATTAGAAGGTTTCGGTTTTTTCTTCTTTTTTCTTACATATAAAAGGTGGTGTTCTGGCCAACTTGTGCTCACCTCGACTATTTCACCTAGTACCTGCTACTTTCCACTAGCTCAAGCCACCAAATCATTAGAAGGTTTTAGTCTTTGTCTCTTCATCTAGTATAAGAATGTTCATGGTTTCAATTGGAGTTTACTTGATTAAAATCACAAGAAAGACTAAAACTTATTCTTCGGCCGTAAGCATGATGGTGAACTTGAATTATAAATAACCTCATTCCTCTAAGGCTTTGTGCAATGATGTAAACATTTTTTAATATGGGCTGATTTCTTCATACAACAATGTTTATTATCCTTCATGTGTAATCCTAAATATATAAGCAAATAGTGGAGGTCATAATTTAATAAAGATGGGGGATTAGCTGACTCTTCAAACAAGGAAATATCGTTCATAGAAAGTAAGCCAATTTACCATGTCAAGACACGCTCAATTACGGAAAGTCAAGCTTTTCCAGCTCAAACACTACATAGTTTTACAAATGGAACTTGTTAAAATTAAGTGGTTTTTTCTACTGTTAGCTCGTCATAGAATATATTCGAAGAGTTACAAATGCTTATTCAACTAGTACAGTCTTAGTTTGTAATAGGAAGCAAAAACCATAAACAACTGACCAGAAACATGGCTTTATCTGTTAAACAAAAAAGTAGAAATGCGCTGGATTTAAAACTAAAAGAAGTCAAAAGATGAACTGATGAGTCATATGATCAAGAAATTATTACCAGTTACCAAATGAATAGTATCATACAGCATAAGACAAGCTCTAAAAACGACATTTGATTATCAATTTTGAGAAGGTATAGTATTTTCATATTCAAACGACTGTTTTAGCTTACAGGCAAATGCACTAATTTCTTGAGAGCTCAACTACGCTTTGGGATCTGAAATGAGTGTTATTGTACAATGGGATTAAAAAAACACATGGGATACCTAATCCATATTTACCATTCCATCAATCCATCATTGAAACTGAAGTGTAAGAACAATACATTGGTCTAATTTTACCCCCATAAACAGTGGAATGAACCATAAATGTGTGATCCAGAACCTGTCTCTCATTGTTTAGTACTAGTCAAACCGAATAACTGGTTTACAAATTCATCAATTAGAAGCTTCCATTCTGCGAGCAGCTTATAACAGACTTCAATACAAGACATTACATTCAGTCTGTAAAGTGTATATTAAGCTTAATTCACAGATCTAAACACATTGAGTCAGGATCTAGTAAAAGTAGAAACAAAAGAGTCTCAATTGAAAAATCAATCTATATAAACCAACATTAGCAATATGATTTTCTTCCCAATAGGGTAATGCATCAAAACACAATATTGACAACTTCAAAATTCAAATAACCCAAGAATTATAAAGCATAAGCATAGATCTTTATAATGAATAAGCACAGGAAAGAAGTAGCAAGAAATTGCGCAGAAAAGAAATCAAATCAAAAACCCAAGAAAGATAGGGGAAAAAGAGAGAGAAGAGACTTAGAGAGTAGTTGTTGAGAGATGTGGTAAATTTTCAGGTGGCATTTGAAGCTTCTACATGACTCTACTAATGAGCAGCTAACAATTATCAGGCGGGTAGTAGTTCCAGTCTCTCTCTCTCTCTCTACAATACTACTCACTATCTTTCTCTTTCTTTAGGTCTGTACCATCTACCCAACCAAAAAAGAAGAAGAAGATGTGCTTCTTTATTGAGAAGTAGTAATGGGGTTTCTTCTTCTCTCTTTATTGTAGTTTATCTTTCTAGTTTCTACACCACCAAGTCCCAGTTGGCTTGTCTTTTTAGGTAGCTTCACAATACATTATAATAAGTACTTAGCTAGCGTTTGGCCATAAAATTTTAAAAAATCTGATTCTTCGAAGATGAAAATATGTTTGGATATACGTTTTTAAAACATATTTTTCAACTTTATTTTGGAAAACTATGTATATAATTTTCAAGTTTTGGGATTTTGGCCCAAGCTGATTTTAGGATTTGGGATTTGAGCAAAATTTATGGCCAAACATGAATTTTGAAATAAATCCCAAACTTATTTCGGCAAAACTGATGGCGAAAGAGACCTTAATATCTATTTGTATCTGTAGACGCACATGTCAGCTTTGTATGAATAGAGTGGGAGTTTCTCTCACTCCTTTGTTTGGAATAGTCGTATGTCTGGGTATGCCAAAAAAAATTATAGTACTGAATTCTCAACCTACCAATATAATTTAACTTGTTATAATGTTTTTTAAGTAATTTAATTATATAAATATTTTTTATACTACCAAACTCAATAGTGATAATATAATAGGGAAAAAGGAATGCGTAGTGTCGGTAGTCTTTAAATCTAATAAGTAATCACCAATCCATTGTTAAAGTTGGAAAATTGCTCTTTCATAGGCGAGCGGTGCGGCTTTGGCCCCACCAATTTCCTTCACTCTTCTATATCCTATTCACCACTTCAATGGGCCCATCATGTTTTTCTTTTTTCAGTTTTAACTATACTAATAATCCAAAACCTTAGGCCGAAGGTCAGTCTCTGTCTTTACGTGGTAGGGAACACCCCACTTGTAAGATTAAGTTGGGAGAAATTTAAAAATAGTCAGATTTATAACTGGTCGTTCAAAAATAACCCAATTTCAAAAGTAATCGAAATTTAGCCACTTTTCATGTAAAGATAAATCTGAGCGAAAACACTGTTCAAAACCCGAAAAATACGCCAGTATATTATACTAGAGTTCCAGGATAAGTATGCTGGAACTCCAGCATAATATGATGGAGTTCCAGCATAAGTACACTAGAACTCCAGCATAATATACTGGAATTCCAGCAAGTATAATTATCCAGTATAATATACTGGAGTTTGGAGCACCGGTACTCAGTCTCCAGTATATTATACTGGAGTCAGCAAAGTATAGCGGTTCAGCATAATATGCTGGAGTTCATACCCAGGTGCACCGAACTCCAGTATATTATGCTGGACCGGTCTCTGTTGCAGCAAAATAGTGGCTATTTTTCATTGACTTCGTAAACGCTGGCTATTTTTGAATGACCAGTCCGAAAACTGGCTATACCGTGCTATTTTTACGATTAAGTTGAATTTTTTGTTGTTGTTGTTGTTGTTGTTGTTGTAATTATAATAATAATAATAATAAAAAACTAAATTAAAAAGAATATTTTCTTTTGTTTTTTCTCTTGCTTGTAGATTGTGTTTAGTATTTCTCTGTGTTATAAGAGTGAGTAATTTTTCTTATGTGAAAACAGACAAAAGTATACTGTATATATCAGTTTTCTATAGCTACAAAAATGTTTAAACTGTTATGAAATTCATAATCAAAGAAAAATAATTTGACTTTCCAAGAAATAGTAGGATCATTCTATTTAAAACAGTAGCACAACATCCCTTCCCCCCTTCCTTCCTTTATGTAATAAAAAACAATTAAAGAAAAACTCTTTTAACATTTAGCCCTCAAGGAACTAAAGTATGAAGTTATAATTCTTAAATTCAGATTAAATTTTTTATCCATTGACTTTCTTATACTTTTTATTTTTTGTGGTAGAAAATCATATTAACATAAATTTAGTTCTATCCCGTGGATCATTGTAAAAATGAAACATCATACTTCCAGTCAAATTGGAAGGAAAAGAATGAAAAGATAAGGATAGCAAGTATTGTGGATACTTCATCGATCGAACGTAATTGTTCAATTATTTAAGTGTTTTTGCCCATTGAACGCACTAGTTCACTTCCTTTTTCATCCACTAAAACGCACACGATTTATACTGTCAGACACCCTATGTTACTCTTTTTGCGTGTATTTCTTATTTTTGGTGTTTGATATGTGTATTGGAACTATGACTAATTATGATTCTCGTGTAACGCCTATTGTATGGGCAAAAAACTTCATATCATACGTTGATTAGGTCAACGGAAATGAAATCTTTGGAGGTTGCCACGTGTCGTCGATATGATATGTCAACTTGATCCCAAAAGATCGACATCACGAGAAGATGGCAGGTCGTCGACGGGGTCGAAGTAGTATGATAAAGACGAAGATAAGGAAGAGGACGAACACCCCTCTTCGGCTTACAGTCAGTGGCGGAGGCAGGATCTCCACGAAGGGGGTTCAAATTTTTTTTTTTTTGTAGCTAGTGGGAATTGAACCCATGACCTTATGTAGATTTTGAACCCCCTTGACCACTAAACTACACTTTTGGATTGTGTTAAGGGTATTCAAAACTTAATATATAGAGGTAAAAAATAAATTTTGTCTTATATATACAGTGTAATTTTCGGCGAAGGGTGTTCGGGTGAACACCCTTGCGCCCACTAAATCCGCCCCTGCTTGCAGTAACGGCTAGTTCCAGGATTTATGTTCCCTAAGGAATATTCCTCTCAATTATACTATCTAGGGTTTTGTGGCACATGTACCCTTATAAATAGGAAGATATGTAGTTATAGAGGGGGATTGGACACTTTTTGTAAAGAACAATATTGACATTCTCTGAAGATTCTCTCTTTTATCATACACATACAAAGCTTGCCTTTTTACGTCTATATTTGTCTTTTCTTCCCCGATCCAAGGAGAATCAGAATATTCAAAGGCTTATCATTATCCATCATAGTCAGAAGAATCATCGGGAAACCTCACCCCTGTCGGGTGACCTTTATCCACTTATTTACTCAAATGTCATTTATTATCATTTATTGCTTTCTATCATATCCTTGAATCATTCATTGCTCCATTATTGCTCTTATTTATTGCTATCCAATAGCAGACGTGTGGTGTTCTTTTATAAATATACTAGATCTATCATTTAGGTATTAATATTGACTTAGATTAACCCCCTTTACTAAAAATTTAACTATATCAAAACCTAGATCTAAATTTTGGGGCATACAGTTTGGCGTCGTTTGTGGAAATTTCTCAGTCAAGTTTTTAGTTTCCATCAGATCTATAACTCACGTGACTTGCTAATCTAACAAACCACAAAGGTTATCCTTTTTATCTATGTGTATATACAAAAATTCCATGGCAAGTAACCAAGAAAACGGGACAAAAGCGACGGATAACGTCCCGCTCAACATCATGAGTGCCATTGATGTTTAGCTTAAAGTATATATATTTCTATGTATATCGCCTCATATTTTACTTTTGTTTCGTGAATTTGGGATGTTAAATGCTATGATTTATATTAATTTGAAGTGTTTTTAGTTGCAGGAATGATTCGGGAGCAATTGGGGGCGAAACACGCAAGATATTGAGCCAAAACGAACAAAGTCGGAAAAATGGGCATTTGGGCACCACAGGCAGCGCCTGGCGCCACCTGTGGCGCTGGAGGCAGAATTGATAATTTGGGCAGCTCCCTGGTGGGCGCCTGGCGCCGGGCTGGGCGCCGTTGACGTGATTTTTGTCCTATTTTTCCCGGGACTCGGTTTATTCGGCCCTAGACCTATCCAACACGTATAAAAGCCATCCTAAAACCTATTTTGAGAGGGGAACGTGATTTTGGGGGAGGGGGAACGCTTTTTGAGAGTAAAACACAAGCACAGAGCCGCCGTGGAGGCCGTAATTCATCAAGTTCCATCTTTCTTCCACTAAACTTAGTAATTTTTATGTTTCTTTTTGCTACCATGTCTATGTGGAGCTAAACTTCACGTTCTAGGGTTGTGGTTCTTTCATGACTATTGTTATTCGGATATTGATTTTGATTTCTTAGTTTATCATATTGGTTTATTTATTCAATCCTGCACTTAATTATTTGATTGCTTGATCACCAATTGAATACTATGAATCTTGAATTGAACTCGAAAGTGGGAATTCTAGATTGCATATAGGATTGAGTAGAGCAAGTTCTTGAACCTGGGCATCGGAGAACGGATTTGTGGTTAGGATAGACATATACCTAATTGCCTTGCTTGGTTAATTTACAGGAATTATAAATGCGTTCTTGTTAGTTCTAATTCCATAGACATATAGGAGTTAGGTTAGCTTGAATAGGCGAGTAAGAACTCGACAGATTCTTATATTAACCCTGTTAACCAATAAACCAGATAAATTAGTTAGTCAATTCAATTGAAGAATACAATAGGAATGTTAGATAGCCCATAACCCTAGATCGTTTTCATTACATTGATATCATAAAAATCTGCTCTTTCTCTGTTGAAAGTTCATTATTTATATTTCTTAATTTAATTAGTTTAGAATCAAATATTTCTAGGTTTAATTCTTGTTTAGATAATTAAGATATCTAATTTAGTTAATAGTTAATCACAAGTCCTCGTGGGTTCGACATCCGACTTTTAGTCACTTTATTACTTGACGACCCCGTATACTTGCGTGTGCGTTTGGCCGCAACATGTTTTTGGCGCCGTTGCCAGGGACTTAAAAATTAACTATTCTACTAGATTGGATTTTTACTTCTTGCCTATTCAAGTTTTTATTTTTTTATTTTTAACTTAGTTTAATATTTTATTATCTTTGTTGATATGGCATCTTGGAATGATAATTTGTCGAATATTGGTTATTCTTATTATGGTGATCCTTGTCCATATTATGGAGGACCACACTTGTGGCAAAATTGTGAATCTCAATCTTATGGGTGGAATATTTGTAATATATGTGGTGGTCAAGGTGGCCATTGGGATGGTTGTCCTAATTCTTATTATCCTTCTCAGAACTCTTATTATGATGTTTCTAATAATATTTGTGAGTTTGATAGGGATAATGAAGTGCAGGATATGAAACGTGATGCATATATTAGGGATATTCTGAGGCAAGTAGCAGAGCAAC